GACTTATACACTCATCTGCATGTCAATTCGGCTTTTCCGGGAAACTCATATAACGCAAGTGTTTGTGGTGTCGAACATACTCTTCCTTTTATCCACATTGTAATCTTGTTTTGTAAAACATATTAATGACAAATCATCGGATGACCGTGGCTTAGTAAAAGTTGCGAGGAAGCAGTACCGTTGCATAGTCTAACTTTAATGTTCTGTTCGGGCGTGCGCATGTTCAGTGCTATCTAAATACGTAAGTATCCATTTCTTGCCATGTTCTTGACGAAGCATAGCAAGTTTATTTCAGCTCATCACCGGAGAGATCTTTTCTTCAATCACGAAATGACATTGCTATAGTTTGACGACGGGTGGGAAAACGTATTCAAAACAGTTGATGACGATGATGATACTGATCACGATCCCTTTGTTGGCATAACATTTGTGATTTTGCAGCTTAATCATAACTGGTTTCATCGGCTTCTTTTGTGACCCTTAAAACAAACCTTAAAATTACATGGAGTAGTTGGAAGAAGAACTAGACCGAAGAATCGACAAAGTCAGTCCAAGGAATAGAAGTGGTTTTGTTTCAAGTATTTACAAATGGTGTATCCTCATTAGGAGGTTTTAACAATGTTTACTGATCTCTTCACACAACGTCACAGACTGCATGATATTGGACGTGAGCATGAGGCGATCGTTTTGTTTTATCTTAATAAAAATGCTTTAGCTTTTCCGAAATGGTAGTCTCAGTCGACCGTACTTGTCAAACCATTGAACGGTTGTGAAAGGTCTCCCTATTCTACATGAAGGGTGCAGGTCTGTTTTCGCTTATGCGACAACTAAACTGACGATAAAAGCTTCGGAAACCGACAGTGATTCAGATCAAAGAAAACGATTTGTCACAAGTTGTTTGAACTTTCGGTTGGCACGTCTAACTTTTCTTTCTCCTGTATCTTTTTTATTTCGACGTCGCATCCAGAGTATTCGACTATTACCCAGAATTTGTCATGAGTAAGCGGGTGTTGTTGATAAGTGCCAATTTCGATTCTGTCTTGCATGCTTCAACACCTTGACATCCTTATGCGACTTGCGAACCAAACAAGGCCGAGAAGCTTGATGATTAGGAAATCACTTCATTCCTGTACTTATGATTATGCCTGTTGATGGAAAGGTCCGGACGTAGGTGACATGAGTTCGTAGATATCAACGGTCTGTATACACGCAGCATGGACGGGGTTGCAATCCTAGAGACCGACCCGAGCCGCCGACTGGATGAGCCTTCTATCGACTGAACTACTGTTGATGACGCTCGCAGTTACTCTCATAGGCCTGAACTTCACAGCCGATTCCTGAAACCTCTGTATTTGGAGCCCGTTGCCTGCAACATCTCTTCGTTCCTGCTACATGTACTGAGATATCTCCATCCAAAATCTATCAAGTCCTTTTCTACTGTACAGCAACTAACTGTCTTGCGCTTCAAGCTTATTCTGGAGTAGTGTATCTGGATATCTGAAGCCGCTAATCACTGAAAGTTTGAGAAATACCCATCAGCGTGCTCATTCATAGTTTCAAACGCGACAGACAGCGATGATTCGTTGCATCAAGTTTCTTCTCTGGCGCTTTCTAGGAAGAATATCTTAGAGACACCTTCTCACCTAAACTTCAACAAGGTCATATGCTGAATCAATAATCTTTTGCGATGAAGACGGGTAAAGTTGAAAGCAGGGTACAGCATTATAGACAAACTTTATTTTGTTAGTTGTTCCTGTTTGGTCTTTTCGCTAAAATCACACCCTGATAGGTTGTCAACAGTAGAACTTGTCCCTTGGGGGTTGTCCCAAGTCCATCCGAACACACACGTCCGGTAAAGGCATTTAGTCAACATCTGACATTATCAGGTTCAGACTGCACATCGTTACTAGAAGTTGCGTTCTCTTGTGTGCACAAATAACAAGGCTTGTAATCAAATCAGCGATGGGCGGAGTCCAGCAGCTTGCCAGACGCTTAAGTCTGTTGCCAGGTCGCGTTTCCAATACCATATCTGCTGTAGTAATTAAAGGTGAATTCGAAGTGTCCGTGTGAAAAAGTCTTGACTTAGACTTTCCATTAATCTTCTGGTGACGAACCACCCTCGGTTCGCGCCTCTTTTTACTTACCTCAAATATTACTTGGGAAGCTGCGAATGCTTGCTTGTGACGGATTAAATGCGTAGGTTTAGCTTGCATTCACAACCCATTCGCACTCTGTGTTTTCTCAACTATACAAACAAGATAGACCGATTGTAAACGACTTACTCGGCAAAGATCTCAAAGATAGTTTTGAACAAATGTTTTGACCATAGGAACATTCCAGAGTTTCTATGCTTATCTTTTGTTGTTTGACCATTCCCGCGTTCCCATAAGAAGTTACGGAAAGTGTACCGACGGAAGTGGAAATTTCAAAAGTCTCTAGGTAACAGATTTGATGCCGCTGGGACTGAAGTCATCCAACGTAGAAGGTTGGTCACTGTTTCCATTAACACTAATCAATGCCGTACGATTGTCTATTCACAGGTAGAGAGAGTAAATTACCACAATTCGGAATAAATTCACTAGCAAGACACGGAAGAATTATCAGTAGACGTTTGTCGACGCACATTAATGTGCTTCTCCTTATAGGTAGTTGCTGTTCTCACAGCACTGCGGTTTGAAAAGTCCAGTCATTATCGATGGTCTCTCCCCTCACACTGGACGAGTACTGCACTCCGGGAAATTTTCGCCTGGTCCTGCTTGGCGTGCACAAACAAAAACCAGAAGTTTCTTCAATCAAGTACTTCGCATCCCTTGGGTCTATTACACTAACGTACATTCATAGCACTACTGGAATCCGTCACTAAAGTGATGTAAACTAAGGTATAAAAGCCAAATAGCACCTTACAGTCTCAGGGCTTAAAGTCTATCAAGGAATGATCGGCGGTTTGCGAAACCCTGTTAACTATGGAAGATTCAAATCCACATACTTCCTAATAGAAAGCTGGACACTATCCGCTGCGGATGGTGTGATACCACTTCCAAGTCCTCCTCTAGTTTCAGTGTGATATCAAGTTTACAAACTTTGAAATGTGAAATTAGAGACTTTCGATATTCAGAAGTCATGAACCTAAGCATATTAATTCGTAGCTGGAATAAAGGTAAACGAATTTGGGAGCCACGTTTTCGTACAACAGGAGAAACCATTAAAGATGGGTGATAGGAACTCTGACTGAATTCAAAGTGTTCATTTATCTGTCTTCAGCTTTGTAGCGGGACGCTCCTTCAAATCAGACTGATTTACAAGCTGGTGTATTTGTTTCACTTGCCTTAGATATGGAGAAAATGATAAGACGCAAGTTGTTCAAACTGGTTGTTTTAGCCGATTGCACAGCCTGTCAGTCCATAAACGGTCAAAATTAGTTAGTGAGGGCACTTTGAAAGGATTCGGGAATTTTTAGTTTTGACTTCATCCCGTAAGTTGTGTCAACCTATGCTGGAAAGCGTAGAATCAACCCCGGTATGCGTCTCACGAAAGTCTAGGGTGCTTTGAACCGGCCGACCTCATGACCAAATGGGCGTATATATATATAT